CCGACCCTTAATCTATGAATCTATGAATCTATGAATCATTGGGAGGAGGGTTGGGGGAGCTACAGTGAATTCTGGAGTGGCTGCAGCCCCTTCCAAAGCCCCACTCCTGTGGGCCCCCACAGTAAGGGAGGGAGTAGGGCTAGGGCTGAGGTTGAGGCTGCCCAGCCAGGGCAGAGCACAGGACACAGCCACAAGCAGCTCATCCAGGGGGCACGGTGGGTGGTGGGTCCCACCACTGCACACAGCCTGGGAGGGCATGGGGGGGGGCATGTGCCCTTGGATCTGCACACAGGGCACAGGCAGGCTGGGGCCATGCTGGGCTGTGTACGGGGTGGGCAGCAGCAGCACTGGGAGAGGCCTATGGGAGGGGCTGCAGCCACCCCAGAATATGCCGTAGCCCCCCCCCAAGCTTCGCCCCCCAACACAGCCTTGCCCAACACCTCCACCAGGAACAGCCTGGCACTGCCCCGGCCCCAGCCTGCAGGGTCCACAGCCCACTGCACCCCATGTGCAGTTCCAGGGTCACGCCCCTTATGCCCTCCCAGGGTGTGTTCAGTGGCAGAAGCTACTCGCAGCTCTGTCCCGTGCTCCACCCTAGCTGGGCAATTCATAGATTTCATAGACATTATGACTGGAAGGGACCTCAGAAGATCCTTGAGTCCAGCCCAGGAAGTCAGCAGGGGTCATAGGATCCCACCAAGATAAACATCCAAATTTCTCTTGAAGGCATTCAAAGTAGGTGTTCGAACAACCTCCAGCAGCAGTCTATTCCAGACCTTGGGGGCTTGGACAGTAAAGAAGTTCTTCCTCATGTCCAGCCTGAAATGGTCCTAGAGGAGTTTGTAACTGTTTGACCTTGTCATCCCTAGAGGCGCTCTGGTGAACAGATGTTCCCCCAGATCCTGGTGAGCACCCCTTATAAACTTATAGGCACCACCAGATCACCCCTGAGCCTGCGCTTTTCCAGGCTGAAGAGTCCCATAGCTCTCAGCCTCTCATCATAAGGTCTGTTTTCCTAACCTCTGATCATGTACATGGCTCTCTTCTGGACACTCTCAAGCTTCTCCACATCCTTTGTGAATTGTGGAGCCCAAAACCGGACACAGTACTTCAGCTGTGGCTTCACCAAGGCGGGGGAGAATGATGTCCTGGGATTTGCTTGAGAAGCATCTATGGATGCAAGCGAGCATTTTGCTTGCTTTACAGCTGCAGCATCACATTGATGGCTCATGTTCATCTTGTGGTCAAGCAGGTCCAAGAAGGTGATCCTCCCCC